CAGGAGAACAGAAGCCACTTGAACGGCGATGTTAATCCCTCATTTATATTCCAGCCAGGTTAAGAGCAGGTGCTCACCTTCAGCCCCGTCCAACAATAAGCCCTGATTGCTCAGACTGAAGCCACACTAACAAGGCCAACCTGACAGGATTGGAAAAACGGTAGACATTTGCTACATACCCGCTAAAAGAATAAATTAATAATTTGTCATCATTTACTCACTCTCATGTCATTCATGAAATTCATGTATGACTTTCTTCTTTGGAACACAAAAGAAGATATTTTGAAAAATGTTTTGGTGCTTTTTATCTCCATCAATGAAAGTCAATTGGGTTCAAAGGGGTTCTTTTGGACCCCCATTAACTTTCATTACATGGACAAAATAGTCTAAATATTCTTCAAAATATCAGTTGTTGTGTAATTTTTTGGTTAACTATCCCTTTAAGCCATATTTAAATATACAAACTATATCACGACAACCAGAAAGCATCCAAATACTTCTGAATAGTATAATTTTAAACCTAAAACTAATTTTTGTAAAAAGTTGGGCTTGAATAGCATGCTTGTGCAATTCATATGTTATGGTTTACCTCAAAATACCTCAGAAACACTTTAAGATAAAAACAAAGGCAAATATTCTAATTTTATGGATCTTTAAGTCGTAACCCATCAAACCAAGGGAAATAAGCCAGTGTGGAGTGGAGTTAAGGAGTGAGGAGTGACTTTTTTGCTCTGGGTGGGAATTATGAGCTGTCTCACATCCTCGTCACTCAGTCAGAGAAAGAGCTGAGCTTATCTGCCGCTTGACAGATTATCCAATCAAACGTAGCACTATTAGTGGTTGGAGGAGATTAGCTCTGATCCCCCATTTTCATAGGTTTTAAAGTGATGAGCCCGAGCGAGGATTGCCAGTTTATATCCTGGTCTGCAGCGACAAGCGTATCTCTCCATCAGTGCTGAGCAGAGAGAAAGGGTCTTTTCATTTATCGAGAGGCTTGGAGAAAGTGGGGAAGGGTTGGGTCCTTTGGGGGAGTGAGAGGTTAGGATTTTCCACCTGTGTGTGCGTAAGTTTTATTTCCCAAGAGTGGGTAACTTTTTCATTTGGATAGAAGAATGATATCTGTGGTGCTACTATTTGCCAAGCTGTTTACAATGTCTGCTTTGTAAATAGATTGAGCAGTGGCAATGGCACTAAATGATTGAACATTTAAAGTCAATATACACATGCGTACCGATCCGAAAGACCTGTACCTAAAGTTTTTGGTACGAATGTGTGTACTGTTACACCCCTAGTGTTTGCAACCCAGTTTACTTACATCATTTGATGCATTTCTGAATGAAATGGGATATTTAATACAATTAAATGTAGGACTTTATTATTTGTTAATTGATTGGATTGTAAAAAGTTGGTGTGGCACACCAGAATGGAGCTAAGTTTTTAGAAGGGAGGGGCTAAAAAAAATGACAGGACTTGGTGATGTCATCTGATTAGAAAAGTAGTACACAATAAGACCATGAATGCATATCGAGAACTAAATTGGCTCAATTTTGATTTCATATTAACTAGCATTTATTAATGCCAATGTATGAACCTTTAACATCAGTTTATCAAAAAGTGTGGAGACCACCAACAATGGAGGCCTACACAGAGGAATCTGTAAACTCCTTTTAGGATTTGTGACCGTTTTTCTCTGCAGTGCTACGGTGAAATCAAAGTGTGCAAATGCAGCTGTCCCCTAGACAGAGTGCTTATCTTCACTAAAGTGTCAGGCATAGGATAAGTGACTCATTTGGGATGGAGCTAATCTCCATAAGGCAGGCAATAAACCTGTTCTCCGTCTCCACTCCCTGTACATCTACACAGTGGGAGAGACTAAAGGGGCCCACAAGCTGATCGCCGCACTGACGCAAGGAGCAGATTTATGATCCCTGGGTGGCGTGTCTGAATCGGGCCAGCTCAGCTCTCCAGAGCGCCATCGCAGTACCCTCCACAACTTTATGCTTTATTCTAGCACCATGAGACAAGAGAGAGGAAGACGAGACAGAGAGGAGGAAGACAGAGAGGTCAGAATATAATTCATTCCATTCAGTCTTAGACAGGCTCCCAAGGTCCCAATGGTGAACAGGCAAAAGAAGAGATGACAAGGCTCTCTAACTGAGCCTACAGTTATTATATACAGCAACAAGAGAGAACTACATTTTAAATTTTCTGAAGAAAAGAAGTGTGAAAATCCAGTCAAACTTTTCATTACTATTTCAGGGTATTGCGAAGACATTCTAAATGTTTTAAAGTGTTTTTAAGGTGATCTGGGTGATTGGTTACTGACCCATGCCCCAAGTCTATAGGTGATTTCAGATTTTACAATCCCCTTGGGATAATTTTAACGGAAATAAAAAAAATTAAAATAGTCTTACATGGGTTCCTAAGGCCCTAATGGAGAACAGGCAAAAGAAGAGCTAACAAGGCTCTCTAACTGAACCTACAGTTATAATATACAGCAACAAGAGAGAACTAGATGTTACATTATAAAGAAAATATATAAGTGGGAAAATCCTGTCAAACTTTTCATTATGATTTCAGGGTATTGCTAAGACATTCTAAATGTTTAATGTGTTTTTTTTAAGGCGATCTAGGTGGTTGGTAACTGACCGAAGTCATACGCCCTAAGTCTATATGTGATTTCAGGTTTTACTATCCTCTTGGGATAATCTTAACAGAAATAAAATTAGTCTTACATGGGTTCCCAAGGCCCCAATGGAGAACAGGCAAAAAAGCAATGACAGAGAACTGTCTAGCTGAACCTATAGTTATTATATAAAGCAACAGGAGAGCTGCTTCATAGTTCTTTTTTGCAAGTTGCTATGTGGCTTTCAGGGTGTTCTGAGTAGTTGCCTTACGCCCCTAATCTGGCTTATTTCAAGTCCAAAGGAGAACATTAGGCACACACACATTTGCAATCAAAACTCACAGAGCTGTAAAGCAAACATGTATTTTGCAATTACAGAATACAATTAACATCAAAAATCGCACAGCATCACATTTACAAAGTGCATGACATCCCAGAGCCACCTTTCTCCACATTTCTGCGAATCAACATCAACATATGCCACAAAGTTTAATTTCTTTGCACAGGCATTTTGTTTGGAGTGAGATACTTCTTCCTGCTGTTTCCACTTTCCAGCAAGGCGATAAAACCCAAAGCGAGGCCCCCCAGAGGCCCTGACAGCACTCTACACCAAAGACAGCAGGGCCCGGTCCAGCACCTTTCATCAGAACACTCTTATCTGCCGTTATTTTACTGGTGACGTTCCTGTGGACTGATCACCCTTCATCAGACACACTCCTGCAATCTCAACAAGCTTTCTACACTCACAAAAAACAAGAGAGAGATAAACAGGGAGAAAGACAGACAGAAAGCAAGAAATAGCAAGTGAGAGACAATAACAGAAATTACCCACAATGCTTTTAGGCAAAGCAGGTATTTTTTGGCAACAGGAAGGGTTCTGAGTAGCTCTCGACTGCAGGTGTGTGTATCTGTGTGTGTGCGAAGACGGTAAGCACTCTCAGGATAATGAAAATTGTTCTTCTAAAATGTAAGAGATGATTGTGGGTGCTCGTCTGATGTCTCTCTCATCCAGAATGTTCCGTAAGTAACAGCGTTGATGATGACAATTGAAATCTTGATGGAAATGGCTCAGAAACATCTAGTATGTATCTCTCTCTGTCACACGCACACACATTCATACCAGGATGAAAGGCTTTTTGAGAGCCTAAGATGAAAGCTGGCTTGTTTCTTTGCATCTGCTACTCTTTAGGAATGGAAAGGGAATAGCTAAGAAGAGATAGAGAAGAGAAGACAGGAGTGCCTACGCACTGTCTGATGCAGTTTTCACGAAACAGTAGCAGGACTCAACCCAAAAAGCCTGCCGGCTCCGCAGCTGTTCCAAAGCCTGCAGCGTCACGGGGTCTCACAACAACACTGGCCAACAACCGTCACAGGAAGAGACAATGTAAGCGAAGGGAAATGCTTGTAGGACAAAAAGCATGTTTGCTGTTTTATGTCTTTTCTCTTTTCATCTTTAAAGTTAACATGAAATTATAATGTACCTGATTTCTAAATGCATGTAATTGCGTTCCCCAAAGAGAACATGGCTCAACCCGAGAAACTTTGCGTTTGCTCTCAAAAAATTTGTTCTCTCACAAAACGATTGCATTCTCCTGAGAAACACAATACATGAAATATAGTTTTTCCTCTCACCTCATATTATTTCCATCACAAAAGTTTGAGAAGCAAACTTGAAGTTTCTTGAGGGAACACAAGTATTTTGCAGTTTCTCTTCCCATCTCTTTCTTCTCATCCTGGAAATCTACTGTCCTGCAGATTTCAGCTCCAACCCCAATCAAACACACCTGAAACCAACTAATCAAGGAGTTCAGGGCTACTTGACAATTACAGGCAGGTGTGTTGGAGCAGGGTTGGAAATGAAGTCTGCAGGATGGTAGCTCTCCAGGAGCAGAGTTGGAGATTCCTGCTTTTGCGGCTCCATATGTTATAGACCAGGGGTGTCCAATCCTGCTCCTGGAGGGCCAACATGCTGCAGAGTTTAGTTTCAACCAGCTCCAACACACTCCCTGGAAGTTTCTAGTGAGTCTGAAGACCCTGATTACTGTGGTTCAGGTGTGTTTAATTAAGGTTGGATCGAAACCCTGCAGGACAGTGGCCCTCCGTGAACAGGTTTGGACATCCCTGTTATACAGTAGATCTTACTGTCATCAGTTCATCTGTTCATACGTTTAACTTTTTAAAAATATTTTGACCTTGTAATGTTTAATCAACCTAAACCTTCCTGTGAAAACAACAGATGTATGCAGGACTTCTCCAACAGTTTTGTCCACTTGTAAATTTGAGCCATTTCACCTCAAAATCCAATCATCAATCTATAGAACAAAGTCTTCGCCCAACATTTTCCCTTTTTTTATAATCCTTACACTCGGGTATACTTACCAATACAGAAGAAAAGATCTGTCACTTACATTTCATTGGACTTTCACAATGTTCCCAGTAAGTAAAGTGCCAAACAACACTCAAAGTTCAAGCAAACACCACTTAAACCCTCATGAGATACTTTAAAAGGTCATGTGAAAGGGACTTTTTCATTTTGGCTGTTCAGGGAACTAGATGGCAATGCCTTGTGTGTGTCTATTCTTTGTATCCCAAAAGACAATCCTTTCTTTCTTTTATCAGGTCTACATAAAAGGATCTGAAGGGGTGGAACCAGAAGAAAAGAAGAGAAATGCACCTATGGCGATGAAGCAACTTATTAATATTCATGAGGTGAGGAACCACAGTGGTGCGCGGCATCAAAATCAGGAAGTAGTGAAGATGCTGTTCCTCATCTCCTACAGACACACTCCGTTCATCCCTGTTCTTTTCTTCTCTGTGTTCTTGGTCCTTCTCTATTTATTTCTGTGGATTACATTGTGTTTGTGTCAAGGTATAAGTGTGTGGATGTGCGCTGGAGGTCGGTTCCCTCGGATCTTCTCTCGGCACTCTCTTACACCTCCACTCCAGGGGACGCACACCTCTCTGCAAATTGCCCTAGCAGCTAGTTTCGCACACACATACTGTACAGATGCTTTCAACAGCCAGATTGTGCTCTTGAGTTTATGTGCACATTTGTAAACCACAAACCTCTTATCGTGCCAATTTTTACACTCTAAGGTCTCAGTGCATGTTTTTATTCATATGCATACTGCATGTATGTTATGTTTACATCAGATGATATGATCTATCAAATAAACACTGCTGAATAAATTATATTTTATTTTATAAAATAAGATTTTATACAATAAAATAAAACGTATACAGTAATTTTGTTCAAGCTGTTCCAAACCTGTATAAGTTTCTTTCTTCTGTTGAACACAAAAGTATAATGTGGAATGTCACGGAATTTGCCAAATTTTGGATGGATAAATCAAGAGTAGGTCAGTGTACTTAAACCAAAACGCGACATGGACTAGAGTCTGTGAATAAGCTGCAAAAGACTATTTAAATGTGTTCTATGTGTCTCTGTGTGAATGAATGGCGCAGATGTGCGGTTTTGTTTACACACTGAAGTGCGTGTGACGCTTGCAGTGATTTCAGCCTCTGCCGCCTCAATATATGAGTACATGAACACACGAACATAATCTATAGAACTTCTCTGAGAGTCTCTTCATTAGCATTTTACCATTTATTTTGAGTAAACTATCATATTATATCATATACAAACAGAAATCTAAGGTCTTCACAGCAACCCATCAAAATAAATGTTCGGTTTAACTTGAATAAACCGTGAAAGAAATATTACTTTTAATATATATTTTTAAAGGAATATTTACCAGAAAAAAATATTTGCCAGAATTTATTTAGCAGAAAAATGTACACAACACAGGAAAAATAAACTAATTAAATAATAATACATATTTTAAAAAATAAAATCAATTAGAGATGGTTTTGATCATTAATGAATTATAAATGAATCCATCAAAATGGAATCCAGAAAATTACAGGAAAACAGAATTTTGTAAAAATAAACCTGATTTTGAGAAAAAATAATAACAATTTTAGGGCCTTAAGAATGCAATTTTTGTTTAAGCTTTTAATAAATTGCTGTTTAATGTTGTAAGTTTCATGATTTCAATTAATTAGACATGCTTTTTGATTAACGCCAGCTATTCATCATGTGATGCGTCAGCCTTACACTAGTCATGTTTATGGGCCTATCACACATTTATTGGATGAACATGTAAATCTCTAGAAGTGAACCGGCCAGCACCTTGATGATAAATTGGTAAGTTGCTAAGTGCATTAGTATTCTTACCTTCAAGTCCTCCTGGGAACTTTTTATGATTTTGGATATCATTATGACTACTTTGTTTGGACTTGTTGTGCATTAAAATAAAATATAACAACATTGGAAACCAAACACTGTTTGGTAAAAAAATCCTTATTCTTTTGAATGGAAACCAATAAAATAGCCAATCACTAATTGTCGAGTACACCAAAAGCATAGTCAGCACAATTCTAATGCTAATAAAAGCCGATTCTGACCTGTGACCCTGAAGTTTTATTGGACGTGTTGCATTTGAGCGGACAGCAGGGATTTGGGATACTCCTAACAGTGCTCTCTCACTGAAGTGTGGCTTCAAACCCCTTCTAAGCTTCATTCAAACCATAAGCCTCAATCACAAAGCACCTCTTACTACCCGAGCTATCGATCAGCTATGTGAGAGGAGAGTCAATACAGGCCTGAAAAAGATCTACATCTTTTTCTTTCATACTTTACCTCCCTGCTGCATCTCACCTTTCCTCTTGGACAATCTTTTCATTCCCCCCAACTACCCCTTCATTCTAATTTCTGTAGTCCAGAAATATACTTGATTTTGTGCACCGTTGAGTTCAGAAATGTCAAAACATAAATAAAGAATAAAAATGATCTATCTATCTATCTATCTATCTATCTATCTATCTATCTATCTATCTATCTATCTATCTATCTATCTATCTATCTATCTATCTATCTATCTATCTAATAAAGAAAACAGTTCAAATTTAATAATTATGTATTTTTAAAATATATGTATTTTAGTATAAACACATACACACACACACACACACACACACACACACACATATACTTATACATTTTATATACCTTTTTTCCAATACACATACTTATAAATAAATAAATAAAATAATAATAATAATATATATATATATATAAAAAAAAATTTATTTACTAAATAACATATATAATATATAAAAGTAATATATTCATACAAAATAATAAAATCAATATTTTAAAAACATTTCTATTTTATTCAACAATACATTTATTTTTACAATGTATAATTATGTTTTTCTTTATTTAAATATAATTTACCATATAAATACATCTACTTTGCATTTGCATATACTTGTGTACAGTTTCTAGCAATATTCTTTTTCTTTCCTTCTCTGTTTCCCTTTCGCGCACAATGTCACAGTTTTGTCTATTATATGTTATCCCCCTTTATTCATCTCCTTTCTTTCACAAGGTGAATGCTCTAGCCTGGTAATGTGAGCCCATCTGTTCTAAGACTTGTTAGGATAATGAATCCTTATGTGGCCCAAATGACTTCCTATTAGAAATGAGGATGAAGGACAAATTAGCTCTCACGACACAGAGGCAGATACAGAGAGAGAGAGCGCAGATGGACCCAGTCAATACGAATAAAGCCGCAGTAAAGGAGGGTCAGCTTTATAGTGAGATTAAGACCTGTCTCTCTCTCTCTCTATGATGAAAGACTAAGACAGAATACAGTTGGGCTGGAGAAACCTAATTCACCTGCTGTTCCAGTGTACAGTAAACACAGCAGATGGTTTCTGAGCAACAGCAGCTGTGTGTATGTACGTAGGCTATGTGTGGACAGAAGCTTTATGTGTTAAAAATCCATTAGCAGCATTCACAGAAAAAAAAGGTCTTGCACTTCTATAAATGAGACTGTACACTCTTGCTATATCTGCAATATATGGGTTGTTGCTCTTGGCTTGAAGGGAATCACAGTCCATGAATAATTGTTTACAGAAGACACGACTGCTCATAAACCGCTTTCATAGAATAATAAAGCTTGGAGGAGCTAAGTAGATCGATCACACACACACACACACTTGTTTTCTATGATGTTGGGTACTTCTATTGTTTTTTCCACTAAGCTAATGATAAGTTTCAATCCCCTAATCCTCAATGTATATGCATCCACTTTATATTTTAAATAACAATTCTTCATCTTAATTAGTATGCTTATTAAGCTGTTTTTCTTATGGGAACTGTTGACTGTTTCCCATAATTTAGGCAAATAAATAAGTAAACAAACAATAACAAACTAACACAGTAAAATGCACTGTACTATATATACACACTATATATTACAGTATGTACATACTTTACAACACGACATACTTTATCATACTATATATATAATATAATCAATAATAATAACTATAATAATATATAATATATAACTTTTATTTTTTGTGTTTCCA